GTAATTACCAGCAACAACAACAATCATTATGGAAGCTGATAACCAGGCCTTTCTTCCACAGAGCCACTAGGTTGGTCTGAACTGCCAATAACACAGTACCTAAAAAATTCTTTACTGTTCTCTTCAGAGGATAGACAATTTAGGCTAAAGACGTATTACATTAAATGCAGATTTCCAAACATAGCTGATTTTTCTTACCTTCATACCTTTACATACTACTACATCTGCCTAACATTCCTATCCCTGTTGTTTGGGTTTCCTGGGTTCACAACCAGAAGTAGTACCACTCCCCTAGAAAGTGCTTTTGACTGCTAACCAGAAGGCTGACAGTTCAAACCCACCAGCCACTCCTCAGAAGGAATACTGGGCAATCTACTTCTATAGAGATACTGCCTTGGCAACCCAAGGAGAGGTCACTAAGAGTCAGAGTTGACTCAACAGCAGTGAGCTTTTTTTAGTTAATGACTAAGAGGTGATAATTGTATTTTGAGTTTCAAAGCCCTAAGATGCTTAGTCTGCAATGTAGGACTATCCTGCTCAAAATATCAACAGCACTTTTGCTGAGAAACATTGGCACCTAGCCAAGTGCCAGTAATTCCTCAGGATTTGCCTAGGTACCTACTTCCTTTGAGAATTCTACTCCATTTCATGTAATTTCACTAAGGCGCTCCTTTGATCTCTCTTATAGCTTCTAAACAAAGCAACACTAGGAAGAAAAGCCAGACAATCTAGTTCTCAAAAGCAGTTAATGAAAATCCTACAGATCGAGACTTCTGGCAACATGGCAGAACAGGCAGACAAGCAACACAGATGCTCTACAACAATGAAATGAGAAACAATCAGAACAGATACAGAAGATAATCCTGGAAACCTGAGCTTCGAAGGGAAGGATAAAAACGTGGATCAAATACCAACTAGTAGAAGAAACTGATGAAAACAGGAAATAAAGACACAAACACAGCTGTGGACTGCTAACTGGCTTGCTACTAGTTGGTATTTGATCACATCTTTATCCTTCTCTTTGAAGGTTGGATTTCCAGGATTATCTTCTGTATCTATTTCAAGATAGATAAAAGACCTAAATGTAAAACTCCAAACTACAAAGTTCATCAACAAAAAAACAGGAGCAACTTACGGGTCCTAATTTATGGCACTAACAAACTATCAAACATAACCAAAAATGCACAAACAGTAGAAGATAAACCAAATGACTGGTTCTTGCTAAAAATTAAATTCTTATTTGTATCAAAAGGCTTCTCCAAAAGAGTAAAAAGAGAACCTACAGATTGGGGAAAAATATTTGGCAACAACAGATGTAACAAGGAACACAGCTCTAAATTTACATAAAACTTCAACACCTCAATATCAAAAAAATAAACAATCCAATTATATAATGCTCAGAGGACATGAATAGACACTTCACCAAAGAAGATACTCAGGCATCCAAAAAACACATGAAGAAATGCTCACAATTATTCGCCGTTGTTGTTGTTGTTATGTGCCATCAAGTCAGACCTGACTCAATGGTGACTCCTCCTTGGGTTTCCGAGGCAGTATCACTATGGAAGCAGATTGCCCCATCTTCCTTCTGAGGAGTGGCTGGTGGGTTTGAACCACCAGCTTTCTGATTAGCAGTCAAGTGCCTTAGGCACTATGTTACCAGAGCTCCCAGATTTTTACTAGTGTACCTTATTTATAAATAAGAAGGAGTGCTGGTGGTGTAGTGATTAAGGCATCTGGCTGCTAATCAAAAGGTTGGTAGTTCAAACCAACCTGCTGCTCAGCAGAAGAAAGATTGGGCAGTCTGCTTCTGTAAATCAAAACAATAAGATATCATTCCAACCCAGCAAGAACAGTGAAGTTCAACAAGACAGAAAACAACAAATGCTCGTGAGGGTGTGGAGAGATTGGAACTCTCATACGCTGATAGTGGGATTGTAGAATGGTATAAACACCATGGAAAACAGTATGGCACTTCTTAAAAAAGTTGGAAATAGAAATACTGTTTGATCCAGCAATACCACCACTAGGAGTATGTCCTAAAAAGGTGAGATTCAAGACATGAATATATGCACACCCATGTTCACTGAAGCACTATTCACAATAGCAAAGAGATGGTGTCTTAGTTCTCTAGTGCTGCTATAACAGAAATAGTATAAGTGGATAGCTTTAACAAATAGAAATTTATTCTTTTACAGTTTAGGAGGCTAGAAGTCCAGATTCACAGTGCCAGCTCTAGGGAAAGGGTAGGCTAGAAGCCCAAGTTCAGAGCGCCATTTCTAGGGGCTGGGTGGAGACTCCTCAACTGTGGGCTCCAGCTCTGCCTTCTAGGCCCACTATAGCAAGCTGGAGGCTTCTCCTGACTCACACAGCTACAGGGGCTGACAGACTCAAGATTGGCAGGTAGTGTAGCAAGCTGTAGATTGTTGGGTCACAGGCTGTGAAGGCAACAATCCCAAGATTGGCAGGAAATACAGCAGGCTGCTGGTTCAAGTCCAAGAACTAGAGATAATGAAGGGCCAAATGCAGGATCCAAAATAAGTAAAAAAATAGAGACCTTTCCTAAAACTTTTCCATATTTACCGGAAACAGGCCACACACTGAAAGCAACTCTCCTTCAACTAATAGCTGCTCACAGCAGATTCTACCATGAAGTGATTACACCAGTCTAATCTCATCATGGAGAATAACATCCAGCTGCCATGCCACTCAAAATTATGGCCAAGCCAAACTGACACACAACCTTAACTCCTACAGAAGAAAATAACCTAAGTGCCCATCAACAGATGAATGGATAACCAAAGTACAATACATACACACAATGGAACACTATGCAACATTAAAGAATTATGAAGAATCAGCAAAACACCTTATAAGCTGGATGAACTTGGAGAACATTATGCTGAGTGAAATACATCAATCACAGAAGGACGAATATTGTATGAGTCCACTATTATAAAAAGTCAAGGAAAGGTTTACTGCGGTATAGTAAATTACTTAGTGTGGCTCTTCTACCCATAAGTCTTTGTAAACTCCAAGGTGCAACTGAGGATATCCTGATTTTAAAGTCTCCCACTTGGATTATTTCTGTTGGGCGTGGCACAATACAATGTTCTGGGAGGTTCCCACTCTCACGTGCTTAGAGTTCTGATGCTATGATTGACCACCCTTCCGGGTTCAAAAGGAGGCCTCCTG